CCCGCGGCTACTTGCCGCCGTTGTTTTTAAAGTTTGTATTGCCGATGCGAACGCATAGCAATATACTAAAAATAATTGAGTTGATTATCGTTGATTGGCTATTTTATGCAGTTGACTATCGATTGATCAGCAATACTTTAGATTACAAATAGTTTAAAGCAATAAGATGATTTTTCTCCTTTTTCTGTAGGTATGCGAACGAGCGTGCACTTGCGCGCAAATGGAACTTCTTCAAGATTGGGTTGTATTTAGTTTGCCAAACTTTATTCAGAGTTTACCTGTTACAATGTCAACATGGTGCTTGTCTTGTTTTTTTATCAGTGCATCCACAAATCATTGGCTGAGAGCTTTGTATCCTTTCACATTTTCGCTAGTTTGTCAAACATATTCATTTGTTGAAAGCTTTCTTAACAATCTACTCAGGTTTCCATATATACAATCAAGAATTGGAAAATACGAATACGAGGATAAGAAGATATTGTGCATCGCTGCTTCGGACTTCTATCGAAAGGTATGAAATTTTATGATAAAGTCAGCGCGTGATATCAAATAACGTTATCACTTTTCAATAGTTATCTAAGGACACTCAGAGGGAAGCTTTCGTGGAAACTTTCGAAGCAGCAGCAAAGGAACCTGGAACTCCGTTCAGTGACATTTTAGCGTCCTTCTAGCTAGTCTTATCATCGATCGTGTCGATATGGGAAAGTTAAATCAAAATGAGAAGTATTCATCGTAATTCTGCTCTTGAGTCTCTTTGTAAATTGATGTACAATCATTGCACGATCTCGACTCGTTGCGTGTACAGTTGTATGTGTATGTAATGATATTTATTTTACATCTGTCCTGTCGGAAAGAGGTAACACTGTTTACAATAAACAATATTTTTTAAATACTTCGCGTTTGTGCATCTCGAATTCTCCTTCCTCCGAAAATAAAGGAGATGTTCTTAGTTATATATACTGATTGCCTTTTTCTTGCGTCTCTGTTTCATTCGTTTCACGTAGAAGTACAAATGTATGGTGCCATAATAGAATATTTCAACGAAGGATAGTACACTGGCTCCCAGAAACAATCCCGCCGCTCCTCCAACACCAGCTGTAACGAATTTGTTCGTTTACAGAAACTTTTATTTCTTTATATTAATATTTTTTAAATATTTGTTTAATGTACTTCAAATTATAACTTAACTATCTACATATTTATTTACAGATACGTACTTAGAAAATCGTGAAACCCGTACAACAATGCTCGATGATGGATAATTAGCGGAAGCTCGACGACTAAAGTCATAACAGACACACTTATCGGTGTATCGTTTCTGAAACAATCCAAGAATTCTGTTTTACTATACGTGCTTTATCTCTGATCGTAATATGAATTAGTTTCGATAAATACAGTTCGGTGTCTTCACTATCTCTGATTTGATAGGTAAAGACATTGCAGTTTGGGAGGCATTCGCAAGAACGGGGTGGATATTGGAGCAGAAAAAGGCTCTGCTTCGCTTTTCCGATACATCGAAGTTGCGTAGAATTGCAAGTGTCTACACCCTCTGTAAAACCATTAAATTTATATTTATTCAATTTTTCTATTACGTTGATTTTAATATTACCAACCAATGGGCCTGGCAAAATGCGGACGACAATTGCATTTATCCTGTATCACTTTCATCCTACATTCGGTGATGCACATATTTCTCGTATACACTGGCCACGTTTTTAAACCACCGTCGTTGTAAACTTTGCAATTTCTTTGATGAGTACGAAGCTCTTTAACGTTTTCGTTCATATTAATCTGAGTTATCGACATGATGGCACGTTGCAGCATCCTTGGTTTTACCCATCTCATTGCAGTGTCGTATATTACCAGCTCAAAAGGATCGCATGCGGCGATCTGCAACACCAAAAAAAAAAAAAAAAAAAAAAAAAGGAAGAAAACACTTTGTTGCCGATATTTTATCATATCTTTGTTTTCAAAGCATATAAAAACATACTCGTACCAAAGCCATATGCTCCACGACGAAATTTTCTTGCGTGCCATCGACGTTGTATTCGTACAATGGTAATTGGTCTGGTATAGGAATAATGGTCCAGTTGTCGTTCTTCCAGTAGCTAGTTCCATATGAAAGAATCATGTGTTTGAGTTGATTTAATGTTAATTTAACAGGAAGAGGACACTAGAGAAAAGTACCAACTTTAAAGTGGCATAGATTGCGAAGACGCTCCTCGTTGTTAAGCACGCGCCTCTTTCTGTCATTACCCACGTTTCATAAGGATCGTTCGCTTTCAGAATATTCGAGGAAATATCTTTCTTCAAGTCGTAAAGTATTTCTAGCCACTTGTTCGCTGGAACTTCGTCGAAGATAGGTGTATTCATCATATTTTCATAAGTGATGTTGCCAAGGAAGACGAAGAACTGTTCTGCCTCTGATGTGTGTTTAATACCGTGTCTAGATGTGCAACGTACTTAATAACAAATATTTCATTTCATCCAGATATTATCGTAAGAATAAAGATTCTACTTTTTGAATACATGTGGAATCTTCTTTAGCTCGACGTTTGGTACCGGGCAAATAAACAGCGCTGGTTTCAATGTTACAAAATGGTCTCGATCAGTATCTACCACGATAACTGTGGCGTTATTCTGGTAACGATCCCAGAGTAGAAACGACAAGAAGATCAGGCACAATAGAGCTCCAAGAATGCAGAGGCCGGTGAGAAATCTTGTAAGACGTATATTTCGTAAATTATATTGCAATTTTATTATCTCGTTAGTTTGGATATTGTCGAAGGTACTTACGTCTCAACGGGGTGTCTATTTGGCGCTACCAGATGATTCAAGCCATGTACAGACGAGGAACTCGCGAATTCTACAAAATATTTTCCCGCGTTCGATTTCGCACTGATAATTGGCATGCCTATATGATTTGGATAATGTTTGAATACGGATTTCCTTTGTTTCAACGTAGCTTCCCAACGAGCTTGGAAGTCCGGTAATATCTCATTTTCGTAGAAATAATTATTTTTCTCCTGTGTCTTCTCCGATATATTTTTCGGTATTTTCGGCATGTTTTCTCGTCCGCGGATGACTCTTTCTTTCGATCAAATCCACGTGAATGGATATTAAAGTAAATGTTTATAATACAGAAAAAGATTCGCGTTATAATCATTCTCTATCTAATTCGTTGGTATTTCCATCGATCGATGAGAGACACTGCACGCGATGCTTCTATTAATTATGAATGATAACGTAATAAGATAGGAAGTAGATCTATAATAAAGATAATACAGCAGTTCAAGTCCTCGTGATTTATGCGATAATTAATTCGTAATGAAACACGTACGTATATGTTAATACGCGCGATAAAAAAGGTTTGCAGTATAAAAAAGTTTATTTCAAAAACAATTCTCGATCTTCCCCGTTGCTCGCAGTGTTTATCGCGAATATTGCAAATTTTTATTTTATATTCCAAATTTTTCCAGTGCCTACTTTAGCGCTAGATTCCAGAGATAACAGTGCGAGTCAATTCTTTTTTTTTTTTTACAACACACGTTCTTTTCTTTTTATATCAGAACACGAACTTTACCTTCTCTGTATTTCTTCCCTTTCTTTCTTTCGTCAATTTTCTTCGATGGAAGAACAACATTAAACAGAACAGCAGATCTTATTATGAACGAAGGTGAACTTGATCTTATGGGAATCCGGGTTGTCCGGGACGTGGGCAGATGCGAATTCCACGGGAGATTCTGACGTCAGCAAGATTATGGAACGACCAGATACAGAAACGGTTAGGTTTTACTCGTTAATTAACCCTTAAATGCAACTGTTGCCATTTCATCCATATATGCTATCCCCATATCACGATACGATATTTATTGCATTGTAATTTGAATGTATGTAAACGATACGATCGAAGAAATGGTCCGCCCCTACTTCAATAAAGCTTTTATTTCATCCGTTTAAAAAATTCAAATCGTTAATTTCGAAATGTTTCATCCTGTTGTTTGTGTTGATTTCTCGATGTACGTATCGATCGTCGTTAAACGAGAACACGGTCTTAATTAATAATTAAGAATAATTAATTCAACGACGCCTGCTTAGGAGACTGAGGAATGCTACCCGGTGCAGAAATACCACGACGTTCGACGAAAACAGGGTGAATCGCATCACGATTTGAAACACAAGTGTTGTTTAAAATGTAACCAGCCATGGACTGAGGTCGGGCCATCGGAATTTGGAAGGAGGCGTAGGAGAACAAAAGATCAGCTGCAACACTGTCCTTCTTGTCACTGTCCGCCTGAAACAGTGAAATATTCGATCGGAAGAACAAAGTACGTTTAATTCGCCGTTGTACCTTACAAGATTAGAACGATTGCTTTTGCTAGCTGTTCGAAAAACATGGATGCGGTTTTGAACGAGTACGAACACTTGTTGACGACTCCGACGAGTCAAACGTTCAAGCATCAGAGATCTCAGAGCAACTCGATGTCGCCGAGATTATGCGCACCGTCGCCTTGCAGCAACGCGGCGTATGCTCATTATCATTCGCGGAAAAGGCAACCGAGCAATCATCGACGTCAATGTAGGAACGAGCAGGAACAAATGCTTTCAATTATGAAGAACACGTTACATTCCGGTGGCAACGATCACGAGACTTTTTATTGCGAATATCCACGGTCTATGAAAAACAGCTATAAGAAAGAGAGCTACTGTACGAAGAACGGTGATCAGGTAAAGATACTTCTTATTGGAGGCTGCGGCTCTTTATGCACTTATGTTCAATTTGCATATTACGGTTGTGATGTATAAAATATTATATGTACTATAATATGTATTATTATATGTAATATTATATAATATATGTATTATAATATTATATGTTATAATATTATATATATTATTATAATATTATTATAATAATATATTATAATTATTATAATATAATATATATTATATATAATATTATAATATAATCATAATAATATTATAATATAATAATATAATATATTATAATATTATATATATATTATATATAATATTATATAATATTATATATATTATTATAATATTATTATGATTATATTATAATATTATATATTATAATATTATATGTATTATAATATGTAATATTGTATGTATAAAATATTGTAATATAAAATATTGCAAGTAAGGTACTTGTTATAAAATTTAGTCGCTGCGTAATTGCTATTGCCTTGCCGTTTCTTTAATTGCATTTATGGGACTAAGACTTTATGTAAATACTAATTAGTATCTAAGCAGTCTAATTAGTACAACTGAACATGTCCAAATTTCTAGAAGATTAACATGTTTTCGAAATAGGCAATGGCAGGAATTATGAAGACCGTGGACGTGGACAGCGAGACGATGGAACAGTATATGCGACACAAGAAGGAGCGCATTTTGAAGTCAGAATCACGAACAAAAGAGAGACACCACGTTGATAAAACGAACAGGATAAACGCGGATGAAAAATACGATTTAGGAGGACATAAGGACGACGGCTGGTTATACACTAAGGGTAGATTGAGATTCAATTTATCCAAGCACGAGAATGAAAATAAAGTAGAGGAGGAAGGTTTGGCTGAGGATCGGAACCTACAGGGGAACAACAGATCTAGCGTGCAACCGAATAAACTTTCTATCCTAAAAGGCAGCAGTTCGCAGACTTCGTCGAAAAATAAAAACGTCGAAGACGTGGTGAGTCTTTAATCACCGTTCTTTTATTCTCAGGTATGAACATTCTATCGAAGCTATTTTTTCACCTTTCAGTCGAAGCATAAAATTCCGACAATCGACGCAAACGGTTATTCGAAAGAGGCAGATTTGTCAAAAGGAGCCGAGATTTGTAAACCGTGCCAGCGATCCGTTGTTCAACAGAATTCTCCTCGCAGCCCTGGCAAAGAATCGATCAGTAACTCTGAAGAAACCAGAGACGAAAGCTCGTGTTCCGAATTAGTTAAAGAGGAAGACGAAGAATCTCCTTCTAGGAAGAATATTTACGCAGGTGGAGATCTCGATCTCGATCTTGATCTTCGTGCGACTAAAAGTTACATCGTTGATCTAATCGATAGGGTTCTTAGCAAGAAATTCGCCATCTCGCCGGGTCAGCAAAAGGTTTTCATTCGATTTCAAATGATTCGATAAGCCAAAATTTGCCCATTATTTTTCTCTTCTTCAATGCATCTGAACATACTTTTCATCGCGTTTCAGAACATAGAATCGAATCGAGAATTAGCGGAACAAGGATTCTCCATAGAAATAATACGTGCGTTGCGCGATGATTGTTGCGAGATATTTGCAAAGGATCTGTCGAGCCATCACGAAACATCGACTGAATATATAAAACGCTTGAAAACCCTTCGGTGGAAACACATGCAACACATTCAGGACGAGTTTAAAAAGCTGTGTGATCTTCAAAAGTTTCTAGACGAGTATTCACCGAGGCAGTCGTTACCCTCGTTTCAATCTCTTTCGGGTGCGATCGAACAGAGGGTGGAGGAACGACAGCAACAGCAAGCGCAACAGCAACAACAACACGAAGAGAAACAGAATTTGGGTACGATATCGTGAAGATTTCAAGGGTCGATTTAATGGCGTCAAATTTTCACGATTAAATAGCTCTCTATTATCGAAGAGATGCATTTCTATTCAGCATTAGATATAACGCAACGAAAGAAATAGATTTTTAGTTTACTACTAGTACTGCGTATCGTCTATTTTTTACCGAATTATTCGAGTTTAAAAGAACATAAGATTTTATTAATGAAACGCAGACGAATAAAATAAAATAAATATATTTCGATATATAAAGAAATAAATACTTTTAGAGCGTTGGAACGTTACAAACTTAACACTCTTCTTCTTCTTCAAATTCTTATCAGCCATTTTCTATCGTAAATCCATAAAATAAAGCGATCCACAAAGGAATCGCGTCGATGTCTTTTTGGCCACAACTTTCTTCTTCCTTCCCTCGGTTTTTTCATCTTTTTTTTATAGTCCCTTAAAATCTCCAAACTCACTAATCCTTCTCGTATACAGAAACTTGCAAAAGTTCTCCGTATACAAAAGTACCGTATACAGTGATATTCAATTTAAAATCTTGTATTATCCGGCATTTTCACAAAGTAAGCAACCTTATCCTCAGCGACTCTGTAATTGTGGATCCATCTAGATCCTTTCCTAAGACTACCATCGATTCCATCCTTCCACACTCCTGCAGGCAGATAAACTTCTCTCTGTCTGCTACCGGAATAAAGTACGGGCGCTACTATAAGTTCCTCTCCCACAGAAAATTCATCGACGACAACGTGACAGGCCGGATCCGCAGGATCTAACATCCACAAGGGTCGAATTATTGGTAGACCAGTGTCGAGTATTTCCTTAGCGTATTTCTTTAACAACGGTGTCACTGTCTTTTGTCTTAAGGTCGTCAACGTCTTGGCTATTTCTAACACAGACTCGTCCGAGTATTTGCTTGGTAAATGAGTGAAGCGTATCACTGGTAAAAACGTAGACAGCTGTAACCATCTGATGTACAATTCTTTGTCCGGTAAATTCACTTCAAAGTCATTATCAGGATTATTGTCGGACATGGGGAGAGCCACGTCTCCTCCAACAGCACCCGGCATAATGAATGGATAACCAATCATTCCATAGGTCAAAACTGTTGGTATAACAGTCTTGATGGCCTTCCAAGAGGAAGAGAATGGCGGAAGGGAAACGAATACCGGCGGTCGTGGCCTAGAGATCGCGCCTGACACACCCATCACTGGCACGGATCCCAATATCGATTTTGTGAATATCGTTTTGTAATGATCCGGATTTGTCAGTGGCTGTTCGCATTTGTAATAGTGAGGCATGTCTTGCGCTGTGCCTAAGTCAAGGTAGAACGAGTCCACGTGGTACTTCATGATCAATCTTTCGAGCTTGGACTGCAGCCAAGGTAGAGTTTTATTGTTCGTGATATCTAGGACGCCAACGCTGTTACTCTGCTTGTACCTGTGAACAGAATTTCGTATCTTTATTTAATCTTATTTACTGTCTTATATATATATATATGATTATACACATGGGAATATATAATCCGTTGGACTACTTTTTGTCGACTACTCTATTTTTACCTAGCCAAAGCGGGTATTCTCGGATCACTTCCTCTCTCAGAGATCAATAATCGGTTAGCCACGGCGTCTCTAAAATTGATAGACTCTGTAGATATAAACGGCTGTATACTGAACACGATTCTAAATCCTCGACGGTGAATAATATTAATCGTTTCTTCCATCGACGGAAATCGTTCCTCATCCAACACGAAATCACCTGGACTAGGCTGCCACTCCTCGCTCAGCAAAACGTGTCCCTGTCTCAAGAAGCCCAAAGCTATCACGTTATCCGTGTAATTGTAAACCGCTGCTTCACTGGTAGGTGAAATTTGCCAGACTGGTTCAGACAGCAGCGAATGAACCGCGTTCAACTCGTCCGGTTTTAAACCGTCCCACAAAGACTTCTCAGCCATGGAAGAATGCAAATTCTTCATATTATCGGTAGCACAGATCGTGTAGTTTAACTGAGGCAACGGTGTCAGATGATTAATATACGCGAAAGCATCATATTTCGCTTGCATACAGAAGTTGTTGCTTTTGTTTGCGTTAATCGACACGTAAAGTGGAGTTTCTGGATCAACCAGTACAGTAGCGCCTTTCGAGTTTAAGAAATATCTCTTGAGTACATTTCCAAAAGGATGTTTGGTAATGTCACCGGTAATAAAAGGACTTAAATCAAGTCGTCCACGTTCGAGAGGATAAGGCATATTCTGCACTTGGCCACCACCGTACCAATGGCCTCTCTTTTGGGACCAATCGAAGCAATCTTTGGGGTTGTAGTGAGGACTTAAACTTTGCCAAGTAACGTGGTAACAGTGCATGTCCGTGTGTTTTGTGTGAGCGAGATATAGACGTGCTTGTTGAATCCACTCCATGCAAACAGAGTCTTGCTTCTGGTGATGAGATAGACAAGGAAATACTCCGGTCTCTGCAGGTATACCCTCGCCGAGTCTCGCTGCGATCACTTCCGTTCCGGTACTGCTGTATACGCGCATCACTCGTTCGTTCTTATTGAAACTAAAAATGACAAATTTAAAACATTTATTTATCGAGGCTTTCAGATACTGTAGCACAATTTACACTGTCGGAAACTTCTATTCTAAAAATTCATCAAAATGATAATTGTATTCTCCAATGTGGCATAAGTTTGATGCGTGACAGAGTACGAAGTTACGCGATAGAGAATAAAAATATACAAAAAGCACCATAGAAAGACGATGTAGAGAATATACAAAACTATAGAAAATATTCGAAGCGTAGAACTCGCTGTGATATTTAAATAAATCTCTGCTTCTGCTTCTTTACTTATCATCGCAAAGACATAAATTGGTACAAATATCCGCAGTCTGGTAATAAGATTATTACATCTTCTTGCTTACCTAAATTTGTCGAAATAGGCCCGTTGAAGAACGTGCTGCGTATAATAAATATGCGCAAATCCTACCAGGAAGACGACACAGAGGAACAATATACCGACGAAAGCTCGAAGTCTAAGAACAATCATCGAAACAAACGTTTAGACTCTAAGTCGGAAATTACTTATAGGTAGTCACGTTTCTCGAACTTGTTTACCGATAATCGGCGTTCTGCCTCTTCTTGCTACTGCGTAGAGCTTGAGGAATCGACAGCTGAAGTTTTTCCTTGAGCAAACTGCTAATGCTGTTAACGCTCGTTATCGTGGAGTTGGTGCTCTGCCCTCCAGATAGTTCCATCGGATCGTTTCCTAATTTCTTATTTATCATTGGAGACATGGTTCTGCCTTTCCTTCGAGGTGGAGCTTGCAACGGTACTCTAAACAATTACGAAAGAAAATATGTAAATTTTCTTCTTTCATGTGAAATATCTAAAAGAGGCAGCAAGCTTTATTCTCGTTTCTTCTTTTACAATACCTTTGCAGAGACACCGCACTGCCAACGTCGTATCTTGGCATCATTTTCTGTTCGAAACTTCGTGAGAACGATTATTATCGACGTTTGACTCTCATGGAATTTATCGCCGAATTAATAAGCGATGGAAACTAAAACTGTAGCTTATTCGATTTCGCGTGCAAAGTGACTGCTAGAAACAAAGCGAGCGCGCGGTAAGCCTTAAAGTCTCGAGGGCAAACACTGCGTTAATCTCACCAAGTGCATCGTAAATTACACGAAGATACGCAACAGCGTACACGTAACACAAAGTACGCGGAAATCTCTTGGTGTTAAAGACTGTTAATGGTCAAATACCGACTGACTGGCAGTCTGGTACGACGATTGGGAGAGTCTCGATCGTACTCTTAGTGCGATAACCCTGAAGCGATATAAAGAAGGTCGAATCCGAAGATGATCCTCGCACTGAGCGCACATAATTCTACGAAGACACGAATACTGGTTTTAACTAGTTAGACAAAGGATTTACATGTGATGTGACGAATATTAACGAACAAACGTTTCAGGAGTGTTCCTCTCTCCTTTTTAAAGGCAGTTCGAATTGACAGTGTTTAAGACATCGTTTTGTGATTACTTTACTATATGATTAATTATTGTTTTGTATTTATACGCTGAACTTTTTTCTACGAAATAAATATTTATATTCGTCTGCGAGCGTGTATATTTTTGTATAAAAACGCGTATAAAAATTTGTAAAATCTCGTACCGCAAAATTGGATTCGCTTACTATGTCGTATGGATAATTACAATATTTTATTAGCCTTGTCATTTTTTTACGTTCAAAGGGGACGATTTATTAACGTGTGATCGTATTTAAAAGACTCACGGGATATTTATCAGCCGAATAAAAAAACTTACTTGGCCAACTCTTCGTCATTCGCTTCTTCCTCGGTCTCAGAACCGAGCGGACTTCCATTGGGCGTCGAACCGCTGTTGCTGAACGTCACGCTGCTGCTGTCGTCGCTCTCCGATCTCGTGAACTTCGAGGCGGTTCCCTGCGAAAGTTTGATCGCTCGTGAACATCGAACAATCCCGAGAAAATCAATTTGTGGACAAGTAACAAGAAGAGAAAATTTAAATCGTTGTCACGTTTCCTGTTTTATCCTTTCTTCCGTGACCTTACTCGTTTAAACTCTCGAAATGTCAAGTCACGATGAACAACGATGGAAAATGAGACCCGCTGCTTCGAACGACACTCGAGAACTACTCTCACGGAAACGTAGAACGGCATAGCACAGCACGGTGAATGCATAGGTTGACGATGGTAAACATTACGTAATCACCGAGAAATCATACTTTTTCATCGACAAATCGCAACCGACTCAGAAACCGAAGCGAAAACTTTCGGAATTGGAAAAATGATATGTAATTCAAAAATAATATTTATGCCAATTCCCACTATGCGATATTTGTAGCAGGTATCAGGCTGCGGAATAAAGAACAAACCTTTATCACATCCAGCTTTACATTCTCGGATAATGCTCTTTTCAGAGAATAGTGAGATATGGAATAGATAGAACTGCATTTATAATCCTTGACATCCTTCACATACATAGAGAATACTGTCTTGATCTTTTATGCGAATAACAAACACACACTACTATACATATTAAAGGTTTATTGTGAATAATGCAGATATAATCCAAATGAATTATTCTTCACTGGAAGAAACCAGTTTCCAGCTTCAAATTCCTTCAGTACATTTAATAAACATATATACGGATAATTATGACAGAATGACGA